GACACAAGGAAGTTGGTAGACAAACAAGAGATAAAGTGTTATCCGGTCCTGTTTACACATGTTGAATAGAAACAGATAGAAACACATCCCGCCACGGCGCACCAAGTTGTGGTTTTCACCCTGTTGACGTGTAAAAAACAGTGGACTTTGACTTTTGACAACACAACAAATTTTTTTGCTTTTATGTTCAAATTTTTTTTTGTTTTTTTCTTGCGGGTCGTCGTGCTGGACTGTGTTACCAACGACAATGGGCTTCTCCTGAGTTGACTTGGACAGACGTCGAGAGGCGACGGGCGTAGGACTTGACGACTCTACAAGACGGTAGTATGAAGACGAGAGGTCGAGGAGGAGGACTCGAGCTTGTTAGTAGCGGAGTGCGAGGAGCGAAGAGGGTGACATTGACATCTGCTCGGATTGTGAGTGAAAGTTGGAGACTGGTAGATGAAATTCTTTGGTCATACTCTCCTGGAGTGGCACGTGTGTCCGCTCCGGGTCATGAGTGTGGTTTAATTTAAAGTTGGGAAGTGTGGAATTAGTGCGGGTAGTGAGGGTTGTCCGTTTGATAGACGTCCGATTGTTTGGTAGCCTGAGAAAGTTTATTGTTTGAAGGGGGGAGGACGGAGATGGGTTAATGGAGGAGTAGGGAAGGACCCTCGTACGGCCCGAGCGCGCGCTGAAAGTTTCCGTTGGTGGGTGAGGCGCCGTCTTGGGACTGGGCGTGTACGGGGTTTAGTCCCTGATTTAGGGGTGGTCTAGATGGCTTTTAGTTTTTCCGTTTTATTATTCACCTCACGACTTCGCTCCTGGACTAAGTCGGGGCGGCAATCTGTGAGGGGATAGATTGGTGACTCCGGGCGGCAGGCGGAGAGTTTGAGTCATTCCTGAAGGTGTCGGTTACGAGAATGATACGTGACGAGCGGTGGTTGGTTCAAGTTGTGTGACTTGGTGTTGTAGCTTATGATGAGAAACAGGAGTGCTAAGCTGCGCCTCGGGGGTAAACAATGGCAGAGGGAGGTTTAGCCCCAATTGCGTTCCCTCGAGTTGGTTGTTGTGTTTCTAGCGGGGTCCGTGCTCTTTGTTCGCTCCTTTGACCAGAGACTGAACTCGTGCCCGTGCGGCACCAGAAAATTCCTGTTTTTTCGTTGCCGAAGGGTCGGTTAAACGCTTTGTGTGATTTATGATCATTCTTGTGTAAAGAAGAATTGTCTGTGCAATGATTATTGTGAGTGTGTTCCAGTTAACCTCGTGAGACTTGTAAGTGATTTTGTGTCCGAGTGTGTCTCTGACTGCCTGTACGCACATGTGTACGTGCGGTCTCCTCCTCGGCGTCTCTCCGGTGACGTCGAAAGGAGTCTCCTAGACCGCTCGTGGAGCCCCCAGGACCGCCCTCTCCGACGGTGGACCTCGTAGTCCTTCCCTCTCTCTATTGTGTAGTGGTGTTTAGTTGTGTGTGTTCGTGGTTAGACGCCGTGCATTGTCCTAAAATAACATTGCCACACGTAAAAAATGAAAAAATAAATAAAAATATGACAAGGTCGAGATACATGTTAATCATGGTTGACTATAGAAAATCTGTGTTCTAATTCAGTTTTTTTTTTTTTGTATAAATATAAAACAGTTAGGGAAGAGTAGGCAGTATCAAACTTTCCATGTATGTTAAAAATGGTTGCCAGGTGCTATAGCATTTACAAGTGGAGCCACCCAAAGTACACTTTATTTTCTCCATGTGTAGAAACATCATAAGTTCTGTCACCCAGTGGACATGAGTGGGAGACGCCTCCTGCTTCCACCTCATAAGTATAAGTCGCCTCGCAATTAGGGAAGCAAAAGCAACAGCGTTTGAATAATGTCTGGAAAGGACAATGTCGTCCGGGACGAGTCCTAATATTGCAGTAAGAGGAGAAGAGGTACATTTTACTTTAAAGATCTTAGAAAACGTATCAAATATGGATGTCCAATAATTATGAAGATTTGGACATGTCCAGAAAGTATGGATGAGGGACCCTGTTACTGACTTGCATCTGTTGCATAAGGGATCTACCCCTGGATACATCTTTGCTAGTTTTTCCTTTGATAAATGAAGGCGGTGTAATACCTTGAATTGGAGAAGGCCATGTCTGGCACAAATTGAAGAAGAGTGAACTTTTTGAAGGATGGACTGCCAATTATCATCTGTTATATCAAATGCTAGATCATCTTCCCACTGAGATCTGATTGTTGAAAGAGAGGGAGAATGCAGGGAGGAAAGTACATTATACAACACCCTAATTACTCCTCTATTCTGCACATTTATTTCAAGAATTCTGTCTAAGGTTGTTTCCGCTGGTTTATTTGGAAACTGCGGGTATTTACTACGTGTGAAATTTCGAATTTGGAAATATCTGAAAAGATGGCCGGGTGGAATACAAAATGTTTCTGTCAGCTGACTAAATGAGGCAAATACCTTGTTTATATACAGATCTTCAAAACTACGTATTCCCCCATTATTCCAGATCTTAAAAGCAGAATCCATCACAGAGGGTGGGAACATATGGTTCGAGTAAATCGGTGATCGTATAGACATCATATGTAATCCAAACCGTTTCCTACACTGTACCCAGATTCTAAGAGAATGACATACTAATGGATTATTCTTGTAGGTATACAATTCCAATGGAAGAGCTGATCCAAGCAAAGCCGGCAATGAAGTTCTACCGCAGTAGGCCGATTCAATAAGAATCCAAGCTGGTGTCTCTGTAGAAGGAGCACTTAGCCAATAGAGCATACTCCGTACATTCGCCGCCCAATAATAGAATTGGAAATTGGGTAGGGCTAGCTCTACCCAAACCCAATACGTTCTTTTGAAGGACTAACAACATCTCAATCTGTCACTTGGGTAGCTCTGGGTCACCCTGGCCTAAAGGCTGTTTTAAATGTAGTTGATATGAGGTACTTCCATCCAAATGCAGTCTATTATCTATAGTCAGTGGCAGCCGGCATGTCCCCAGACAGGAGCCATGCTGAGTCTGAAGGTAAACCATGTACTGCTGTGGAAGGGGACTTAAGATGATAATAATATTTTAGTTACCTAAAAGAAAAGACTGCAATAATACATTAATATCACTTAAGGTTCGCTATATTTAGAATATTTTAATCTATTCTTTATCCAAATCAACCAGACCCTATTGATACAAACTATGATCTTATTTGCAGAAAGTCTCTTGCACGTGAATTGCTAGCGTAATTGGTTGTGTAATCGTTTGACTTTTTACTGATAGTCACACAAAAAGCAACGATATTTCAACAATGCGAAGAGATCTAGGTCATGTCCATTTATTTGACCATCAGCCGATAATGAAAAATGGTCGAATTCATGTCAAAATATCTCAAGTCAAATCGAACAGTAATGCAGTTGGCTAAATGATTAGGATGTAGGTTATTATACAACCTCCTGCCACCTCACTCCCCTCCCTCAATATGTATCCCTCATCCTCCGTCCACTTCCCTGTCAGCTCACTCACTTCCTGCGGTGACATGTCAGCAGGCTAACACCGTGCCTCCAGGCCCCGGGCCATAACAGCGGCCATTAAACGACGTGTCATTGCCGAGCTGTGGGCAATGTCATCCTTTCTGTTGCCCCGCCTGGCGTTGCGATGGCCGTTCCTATTGTGCTGACGGTTTTATATCACATTAAGTAAGTGCTTGTGTGGCCGACCGACTGATATATGGTCTCATTATATTGTTTGATGGCCGTGGTTGAGCTGGGTGATTATGCCGCTGATAAACCGCGGCGAATGAGGCGCCCGATAGGCTCATTAAGACTCGTATCGATCGGAGGCATTGACTTCCTGTGGAGCTAATATATGCTCTATGTGTGTGGTGTCGATATTTGCGCTTATGTGGAATATACATGTGTTCTGAGATACATGTATGCTACTTCCTTTTGGCTCAGTGTTCTCCTGCTCGGTTACAGGTCCTTTATATTTACTAGCCGGGGCTTTGTTGAGCGGCTACTGGTGAGGCGGGCGGGTGGCCGGCCAGCTGCTGGGATGCTGTTCAGTGTCATCTGTAACTGGCAGCCAGGCAGTGCGGAGGAGGCTTGTCATAACCTCGAAATTGGAATTGTTTTGTATGTGCACAGCTGGTGAGCCGCTACTCTTTGTCGGCTGTGATAGCAGGTGACACCACCCTGTGATTTGCTCACGCCGCGGCCCACATAGGTAACTGCCAGTTTCGACAGAACTCCACACACCTGAATTATTTGTATTTCATAAATCCCTCCGTGCACCAGCCAAATTCACGACTATCAGGACAAGGCAGGCTGGCTGCTTTTTTTTTAAAAGCCTCCTTCTCTTTCCAAGACTTGTTTTCTGTTGATTAGAATAAAAGGATGCTCCACTCTTAAGACATGTTTATGCATGCAGAGTGCCAAGAGCAAGAGGTTACAAGTGTTTTGACTTAAATCAAAAGAAGTGCTTCAGGTTTTACATAAAAAAGCCAAGAGGAATGCTTTACTTTCCTAGCCGTAAAAACAGTTGACGAGGATAAATGGACTTCATTTGTGTTGTGTGTTTTGTCAGCTGGTGGAGCCCCTGACCCCCAGCGGAACGGCCCCCAACCAGGCTCAGCTGCGGATCCTGAAGGAGACGGAGCTGAAGAGGGTCAAGATTCTAGGATCTGGAGCTTTTGGAACAGTGTACAAGGTCAGTGTGTTGAATTGTCGCCTCCTCATTACACATCCGACATCAGCTCGTTGGCAAGGAAGACAATCAAATAAAAAGCTTTTCCGCTTTCAATTATAATTGACAACCTAAATAAGAAGCACCAACATTTCCCTTTGTGTCAGTGTCTCCTGACGGACATGAGTCCAGGGCCGCTCAAGGACCTGGAACAGAAACTGGAGTTTGCTTGCCAACTTCACTGCCCTTGGCAACATTATTCATAACACCCTGCAACTCATTGAATACGTATTTGTAGCTTCTTTTTTTACCACCAAGGCCTTTGGTAAAGTTAGATGTTATGACCATGGCTTATCTACATAAACAAGTGTTACAGCCATATAGGAATCAGAGCTATTTGGTGTGAGTAAAAATGTACTTGTGAGTGCAATATCTCAGGAAAAATTTGATATTGTTTCTTCAAATTTGGCAAAAACAACCACTTGGAAGCAAGGATGAATTGACTAAAATGTGATGGTTAAAGGTCACTGTGACCTCAGGTTAGTCTCATTTTTGTAAAAGCGATCTCTCTATCCCATGGGGACATTACTTGAAATTATGCACGAACGTCAATGTTTCCACAGTTGCTAGTTTTATTTGTATTTGAAGAATTTAAGCGGGACAGAAGACACTGTTAAACACAGGAAGTTTATTGAAACTGCATTTATGGTGATTACTTGTACATTTCAGGGCATTTGGGTGCCAGAAGGTGAGACAGTGAAGATCCCTGTTGCCATTAAAATCCTCAACGAGACCACCGGCCCGAAAGCCAACGTGGAGTTCATGGACGTGAGTATTTATGCCCGCCGCAATTTGTGTCCGTTTTCGCCCCGTGTGTTCGTGTTTGTTCCTCAGCCTTGTCGAAAGAAATGGCCGAGCCTGTCACTTTGTGGGATTGTGCATTCGGCAGTAAATTCTTACGAGAGTACCTTCTCAGTCAGAGCCGGTGATAAAGTGAACTTCACAGCGCTATACGGCCAGGCATGTATCGAACGAGAGTCTATTAAAAAACAGCACTTGTTTATGAGAAATGGCTTTATTGGAATCCAGGAGTGATAGAGGGGAGGAGGAGAGGAGTAAGCTGGGGAGTTTCCAATTCTTCCTCCCTTATCTTCGTCACCTTTCTTCCAATCTGTCTTCCACCTATCTTTCTTTTCACACACCTCTACTGTAATTTACTTATAACGAGGTTTCGCAATCTACAATATCGTCTTGGAGGTTTGCTCCAAACTGTTAAAAATCTTAATATAATAATGCATCAAAAGTCTGGAGATAGCTGCTGAATAAATGTTAGTGCAATGTATGGCTCACCAACCTTAATGTTAATGAGATAAATAAAACACAAACACAGACATTGGTTGAGATGAATTATTATTCAGTTGCGCAACAACAATAATAATCTGGAGTACAACATCACCTGCCAATCGCGGAAATGTCCCCCAACAGTAGCAACAATCTTACAGCATATACTGTATAGCCACTGCAGTGAACACACACACATTTGATCATGCAGCCTACCACACAAAACGTCACATGTTTGTCCCTCTGAAAGCCACACTTGTATATATTGAAAAGTCATCATCTCGTGACATCCTTAGGAGTAGTAAACTAACAAAGGTTAACTGTTTTTATAACCTGAGGCCTTCTCTGAACTTCCTCTACCCTCGGTGTCAGCTCACTTTAAATGAATACATCTATTGATAATTCAGAACGACGATTGTCTCTCTAACTCTGTGTGACCCAACTCAGTAACACACATCATATAGCTGAGCGTGTGACCTTAATGAATATGCCAGAAATACGCTGTAATAAGGATTGCCAAAGTAAGTGTCCCGGTCCCAGCGTTTGCACCCGACGGCCACCATCATTGAGCAAAAGGAACTAGGAGGGATATGCTTTTGCTGTTTTGAAGAAGCCCTCAGAGATAATTGTCAGATATTCAGTTCAAATATTAGATTTCAATGCTTTTTGGTTGCCAGGGAATACACACTTGTTGATAAAGACGTTGTATTCCTGTCTCCGACCTCATTCCCTGTACATAGAGCAGGATCTGCTTGGCTAAATAACGCATCCAATCGGCTCTATTCAGCTGAATGATGAAGCACACAAGCTCTGATAAGCATTGGGCAAAGATAAGCTAAAACTTTATCATGAAGTCTTCAATTGTAATCTTGTTTTTTTGCGAGAAACCCAAGTTAAAACCTAGAAAAATTTGATAAAATGCTCTCATTCTGTTCTGTTCCTGCGTTTTCCTTACTCATCTCCCTCTCCTCCTTCCCCTGTTCCTCCCAGCGGGGGTCTCCGTCCACCCAGAGCCAATATGCTCCGTCTGCCGACTTGTTAAACAGCAATCTAAAGGCAGGCTCACGCTTCACAACTGGGAAACCGGCCACTGGAGTGCCGGCTCCAAACACACTCGGAAAACCCACACACACAAACACGCATAAGCAAACAGCGCGCACTTTACAACAAAATGCCCCCCCGGGTGGCGGCGGCCTCGCGTGTAGGTGATTTTTTTTTACTTGTGTTGGCATATATGTGACGCGAGAGTGCGGGGTTGAATATTTTGTGTGAAATGCAAAAGCCACACTAATTTAGCAACACACACCTTCGCTGCGGCTTCTTCTTCTGTGCCAGGCTATCAGTGTGTGTGTGTGTGTGTGTGTGTGTGTGTGTGTGTGTGTGTGTGTGTGTGTGTGTGTGTGTGAGCTAGATGGGAAAGGAGGGTCAGCCGGCAGTAATGGAGGTCAGCGCTCAGGGAGATGAGAGAGAAACACACACACACACACACACACACACACACACACACGAGGAAGAGTTTAGCTGGACGTAGTTTACGAGTCGCGAGTCTTTTGGGATCACCGGCGCGGAATAAAAGCTCCTTCGTCTTTCTGTTACACACACTCTCCCTCCCTTTTTTCTCTTGATCCCGAGGTGTTGGCTGGAGTTGTGTAATGTCAGGCCAGTTGCAGAGGAGCAGTGA